AAATTTGACCCACTAGCAATTTTTTTTGATCCCACTAGCAAATTATTTTATGGAAGTTAGGTGGCACAGTGGACGGAGTGCCTGGCCTTGGAATCAGTAACACTCATCTTCCTGAATTCAAATCTGATCTCAGACACTTCCTAGTTGTGTGACCCTGGGCAAGTCACTTAACCCTGTTTGCCTCAGTTTCCTTATCTGTAAAATGAGCTGGAGAAGGAAATGACAAACCACTCCAGTATTTTTGTCAAGAAAACCCCAAATGGGGTCACAAAGAATCGAAAACAATTGAAACAATTGAACAAAAGCCAAATGATTATGGCAGGAACTGGTGGAACAGGGTGGGGCGGGGGTGGGGAGAAGACCAGGAACTCTAAACTAAGAGAAGAGATCTCAGAGCCAGACCCTGAGAGAAAAACAAGGCTGCAGTGTTATTGCTCTGACCCTAGCAGTAAGGGCTTGATGGTTCTACTAGAAATGTACAGAGCCTAGCCCTAAAACAAAGACACAAACCCAGAAGAGAATAGCTCTGAAAGACCTACAAGCAAAACCTCAAAGAAAACACATCTTGGTCAAAAGATCATTTAGAATTCCTAGAAAAAATGAAGTAAGAGTTGGATATGAGAATATAAAATAAAGAAAACTTTCTTTCCTAAAATGAGAGGAAAGAAACAAAAGGAATGGAGGAAAGACGGGGAAAAACAACAACTATGAGCATTATTCTTCATATTACCCCTATGACTAACAAATTCCACCACCTATAACTCTTTCCTATGCCTGTATTACTGAATCAATGACCACATAGGAACAAACTATTCTCACGCCTCACTTCTCATTCTCTTGTCCCTATTCTTCTTAACAATACTCCACCCATCTCCCTCTCCAAGCCTGCCCACTCCTTCCACCGTGCCCTCTGAAATTCCCATTCCATAGCGAATAGACTTATTTTCATTCTGGACTTCTTTCTCTAATACTCTTTCAATCTACTTGCCCTCACTGATTACTGGCTTCTTCCCCTACTTTGCAATGTGGCTTTTATCCTCATAACTCAACTAAAACTACTGTCTCCAAAGTTACCAATGTTCTCTTTATTGCCAAATCTGATATTCTATCTGGCCTTTTCTAGGTCTTCATCCTTTTTCACCCATCTGCTGCACTGGATGCCATTGACCAACCTCTGCTCCTATATAATCTCTTCTCTATGAGGTTTTGAAACATTGCTCTTCTTGGTCTCCTCAGTCTCCTTTGCAGGCCCATCATTCATATCACACATTTTGGAGAATATGGACATTCTCCAAAGTTCTATTCTGGGTCTTGGGTCTTGCATCACCAACTGCCTTTTGGACATTTCAAATGGAATTTCTGTCCCAAAGACACTTAAAGCTCAACATATCCAAAATGGAACTCATTATCTTCCCTTTCCCCAATGCAAATATTTCTTGTGAAGGTACCACCATTTTTCTAGTCACCCAGGTTGGAACACTGGTGTCATCTTCAACAGTTTACTCTCCCTCACACTATGTATTGTCAACAGGCAATCACAACTTCACGAAACATGTAAAAACTAGGTTTATTACAAGAAAAATGAACGTGCATGTGGAACTCAAAGAGTTCACAATCCATACAGAAGTTTGTATTTTTATAATAGTAGGACAAAGAAAGAAAGAGATGCCAGAAATCTTCACCTTAAAGGGCATGGCATGGGAGGGGGAAAGGTGAAGTAAAGTTAGGAAACAGACAAAACCCCTCAGGTGATGGCAAAAGTCACATTCTTTTCCCTTGTGAACTGCTGTGGTCTCAAGGCCACATGTGGCCCTTTAGGTCCTCAAGTGCAGCTCCTTGACTGAATTCAAACTTAACCTGCAGCCTCGAGGCCACATGTGGTCCTCTAGGTCTTGTCAGCTCAGGGGGAGCTTTGTCTTTGACACATTCAGGGCCTCCTACATTCTCTGGGTCCAGTGTTTCTGGAAAATATGGCAACTCAAAAATAAAAATTCAGTAGCATTATCCAGTCAATGGTCAAATCTTGTCATTCCTATCTCCAACATTGTCTCTAATACCTGAACATATCTCTCTATTTACACATTCAGGACTCCAGTTCAGGCCCTCATCCTCTCTCATCTAGATTATTTCAATAGTATCACAATTAGTCTCCTTTACTTGAACCTCTCACCAATCCAGCCTATCCCCCATTGAACTGCTAGAATGTTGTTTTTTTTTTCTAAAGCAGAGATCTGACCATGTTACCACCATACTGACCAAACTCCCATGGCTTCCTGATGCCTCTGTGTTAAAACACAAACTTTTCTGTTTAGTGTGTTAAAACCCTTCACAAATTGGCCCCAAACTACCTTTCTAGGCTCATTGGCCATTTATTCTCCTCCCACTCTCTAAGATCCAGCTAAACTGTACTTCTCTTGTCCTCATACGTAGTACTTTATATCTCAATTCTGGGACTTTGTGTTAGCTGTTTCCCATACCTAGAAAGCACTCCCTCCTCCCCTCCACCACCTAGAATCCCTCTCTTTCTTCAAGATGCAGCCTAAGCATCACTTTCTACATGAGGCTTTTCCTGATTACCCCAACTACTAACACTATTTCTGTCTGACTACCCTAAATACTTCATATTTATTTTCTTTATATTGATTCTGTGCATACTTACATATGTACTTGTATCCCTCCACTAGAATGTAAGCTTCTTGAGAATAGGGATTATTTCAGGGTTTTTTTTTTTGTATCCCTAGCATTTAGCAGAATGTGGGACACACAGTAGGTGCTTTACAAATGCTTGTACATTGATTGAGGAGGAGGAAGTTTTTAATTTCCTAATTAGCATGATACCAGAATCTAGGTTTCTAGTCAGAGAAAGGAAATGTTTTGGGAATTGCCAGCCTCAGGGTTTGCTTAATGGATAACCTCAAATCTGAGAAACTTGGGAGCCAGGCTTATCCACAGAAGGAGTATTTCTGAGGCAGTCAATATAATCCCTCCAACCCACATTGGGGGACTACAGTAAGTTTCTGGTGGGAGAGTTATTCAAGAAAACCAAAATACAGACTTAAATTTATAGGCAGCATAGCTATCCCTTTGCATAGGAAAATATAACAAGGAAACACATACTTAGTTTAGAGCATAATGTCTTTCCCTATTTGTAAATATTAAAGAAGAATTCCAAAAGATGAAATTGATGAAATTGGACAGCTACTGCTGGTAGGAACTGCATGTGGCAGCTGTTACAAAGGCAGAGCTGTCTTTTATCAAAACACTGTAGGAGATGGAAAGCTACAAAAAATCAACAATAACAGGCAACTGGGTTGCATTTTCTTTCTTTCTTTCTTCCTTTCCTTCCTTCCTTCTTTCTTTCTTTCTTTCCTTCCTTCTTTGTTTGTTTCTCTCTTCCTTCCTTCCTCCTTCCTTCTCTGTTTATTTGTTTCTTTCTTTCTTTCTGTCTTTCTTTTTTTCTTTTCCCTCCTTCCTTCCTTCCTCTCTTTGTTACTCCATTTGATTCTCTCTTCACAACAGTCCTTATATCCATCTGTCTTCTTCTCTTCCCTCACACAGCCTACGCCCTAATTCAAGTCCTCCTTACCTCTTGCCTGAGCTGGAGCTAAAGCTCCTAATTGGTCTCCCAGCATCTATTCTCTCTCTTTTAAATCCATCTGAGGTATTGCTCAAGCATAGATCTGACTGTATCACTCCCCTATTTGAAAATCTTTAGCTGGAGAAGGGAAAGTCCTTGGGCAGCACCAAGGGTGAGATTTTTGGAAGCAAACTTTCCAGGAGACAAGAGGGCATTTCCTGAGCAACATCACTTTAGGAGGAAAAAAGATCCCCTGCGTGGCCCCATAGTGAAAGCAGCAGTGAGGATTAAAGCTACTAGGGAAGGGGAGGGAAAGGGTGCACCTTGGTCCTTCTTCCCCCTTGTCCTTTCCCAATGCCTTCCCACAATCATGGTGAATTTTTTGGACGTAGCAGGTCCGATGGAAAGAAGGATGCCCGTCGTGTCCAACAGCTCCAAGGCTTATTTGCTTTTTTAGGGGAACCCAACCCATGGGGGTTACTACAGTGTACTTGAGAGGACTGTATAAGACCCTTTGGGAGAATCAAGGATTCACCAGAAGAGAACAAGCATTTTTATTAAGGGCCTACTATGTGCCAGGTACTGTGCTAAGTGCTTTATAAATATCCTGTCTGATACTCATAACAACCCTGGGAGGCAGGTGCTATTATTATCCCCATTTTACAATTGAGGAAACTAAAGCGGACAGAGGTTAAGTGACTTGCCCAGGGTTATGCAGCTAGTAAGTATCTGAGGTTGGATTTGAACTCAGATCTTTCTGACTCCAGGCCCAGCTCTCCATCCACTTCACCACTTAGCTGCCTCTGAATGTGAGTGTTTCTTCAACGGCAGCTACAAGTTCAATTCCTTCTTAGGGGTAAAATTCTGAAATCTCAGATTTGGAGCTGAGAGGGACCTTAGAGATCATTAAATACAACCCCCTTGTTCTCAGGGGAGGAAACAGAGGCACAGAGAGATTAAGTCACATAGCTAATATAAGTATCAGAGGTAGGATTTTCACTTAGGCTTTCCTGACTTCAAATCTGGCTTTCTATGGACTGTTGTGAATGTGTTATGTATTTTTTCTTGGCTTTTATGAGCTCCTGTGTCCTTTGCATCTTCTTACTTTGCAGTGGGGTGAAAGAAATGCCATCTTCCACTCATAAGGATTTGTTACCCTGAGTATTTATATGGGAGCTGGGGACCATATTATTTATTTTTAGAAAAATATAGGCAGGAGGTAAAATACATTTGGAGAGTTTCTTGGAATAAACTCTGGATGTGTGCAATAAACTGAGAAAGACAAAGACCTTTTTGTGACCCCAGGGTCAGACCCACTTGATCTGAGCCCAGATTCTCTAGAGATCTCTAGGGCCACGAGTTATACATTAATACACTTTTAATAGTATTTTTATTATTAAACTCTTAATTTTTCAAAGCACTTTCACATCTATCATTATATCTTCATAGATTTTCCCCATTTGAAAGATGGGGGCACATCTTAGATTTGTGGCATGGCCAGACCAGAACCTGGTTGCTTTCTGTTTCAATGAGGTTAGTGGTGAAAAGATGGTCCCTGGTGTGGGGACTCTACCTGAAAAATCCCTTGCACCCTTCACAGGTCATGACATTGAAGTGGTAACCAGTTGCCCTGTCCCCACACACACGGCAGACTTTGGGCTCCTCGTCATCTTCCTCAGTAGAGGGGTCGTTGCTGCTGGGACCCAATACTGCTTCTTTTTCACCTTCCAGAAGGATAACATGGCTCCAGCTCCCTCTGCGTCTCTCCTCCAGGTTGATTCTTGTGCCTTGGAAACTAGAGTGATAAACAATGATGGAGAATAAAAGGACAATACCATCTGCCAGGCCAGGTGTATTCGATTGTTTCTGTCTGCAGAGAAACACTCCCTAACTCCCTAGCTTTTTTGTGGGTTGCATTATACCCCGTTGCAATGTGAACACTGATTTCATATGGGAGAAAATGTAGATCTTGATGATACTAACATTGTAGAGTTAACCTTCCACATCGCAACTTTCCCTATATTGGTTTTGATATATCATGGGTCAGCATAAGGAATCAAATGGGAATTTTGGGGGAGTCTTGAAAAAGCCGCAGGAGACACGCAAAGGCCAGCAGATGATACACAAAAAGTTTAGAAACCCAGAAATACAGGATTGTTATTAAAAAAAAAAGCATTTCAGTAGATTCTGTCATCATATGAGAAAAAGCTAAGTCCTTATATGGTTTCCTAAAGGAAAATGAAGGTGAAGGGTCTGCCTCTACCCCTACTGATTTTATGCAAACTTTCCAGATCATGGGGGCACCACACCCCTAATCCCTGTGATATGGAAGGGATAACTGTAAGGAGAAAATACTGATGAGAGAAATATCTTGTGGCAATAGAGAGGATCCTAGGGTAGGAAGTATGAGTGAGAAAATGCTAAGGAGCTGAGAGACAGGGGAAAGGCTGAAAAGAGGAAAAGAAACTATGGAGGAAAACTGGGTTTCACAAAGTATGACAGTTTGAGTGTGGAAGGCATCAATTAAGGAAATATATTTGCTTATCAAAGACAAGTTATCTAAAAAGGGCTTGAAGCAAAGAATAGGTCAGGGGAGCTAAGGCTGAAGCTGTCTGCTCAGGAAACAGGGATACCGTAGTTATTCCTTCCTTCCACATTGTGGAGAATCTGGGGCACAGCGCCCCCCACCCCATCCCCATCTGGAAAATCCACATAAAATTTTTTGGCTTTCCCTTTGCACCAGAGAAGTCTGAATTACTATGGTATTAAATGATAAAATTTGTTGATATTATACAATACTATATATATTTTATGCATTTCTGAGTTTCTAAACTTTTTCTATGTCATCTACAGCTTCCGCAAAACTCCCCCAAAATGCCCGTTTAATTTCTTATGCCATCCTGCAATATATTGAAACCTGATGGGGGAAGAGATAGTTGTAATTTAGGATTTGTGGGAGGGTAAATTGGGTGAATCACTATAGGCCAAGATGCCTAAGTTAGGGTGCAGTCTGGTCAGAACCTAGAAAACTCCCTAAAGTCTGAACGTTGTGAAGCTGTATTCAATGACTGACCTGTGAGTTTTCTTCCTGCACAGAGCATACACCCCAGGACTGCTTCATCCTATGGTTCTGCACTTCATGTTTGTTACCAGGTGTGGAGATACCCAAGGTCCTGCCTACATCATTGGCCTCCTTTGCACTCTGTACAAGAGGGGACCTGGAATGTTTTCTCTTGTAACAAAATAAGTTACTATTCATGTCTTTTGGAGTCATGTCTGTTGGTTGACATAGGTAAAGGGTTGAATTGTTTAGACTTACCTGCTGAAAGGGCAGAAACAGCTTCCTGGGCTGATTGCTATGCTAGTCAGAGTCTCCTAAAGATGGAGCAGCTGCTTTAGTGGATATCTAATACCCCAGATCCAAGTGTCAGTAACGGAGAGTTCCAGAAATGTCCACTCCAGGGCAGAATTTGTTTTTTTCTAAAGACAATTAGAAAATTATTCAAGTTTTTAAAACATCGGCATACACATTCATAGATAATACTCTATAGAAAGGAGCTGGGAAATGGAATCCTAATTCATAAAGAAATAGAAAATGTAAATTGAGATGTTTCCTCTACCACTTCAAATGTTCAGCTGCTTTTTATTGAAACCTCTGGATTAATTCTAGCATTGTTGCCTTAATCTTCCTGACTTCAGAGCCAGAAAATCTCAGAAGTTTACTTAATACCAGAAAAACAGATTTCAAGCAATGACCTATGGCCCCTAGGAACTTTACTTTGGCTTTTATAGGCTTAGAAACTGTTAATACCTGTAAACTTGCTGCATATTTGTTAAAAACATAAAAAAACAAACAAACCAACCAACCCTGGTTCTCATTCCCTTTTTCTAGACAGAAAATCTCTACTAATTAGGTGCTTATCCTAACGCAATAGTTAATATGTAGCAGCTTGGCCGGAACTAATCAGAGTTGGCCGAGACAGAGCTGCATGATGAGGGAAAACTAGTTATTTGTCATGCTTCTCTGTCAGCCTCTGTCCCTGACTATGCAAACTATAGGTTGGCAAACTTCACCTCAATTCTTGCCTAAATTGTAGAATTTATTTTTAAAGAGGTGGGTAGTGAACATGTAGAAAAGGAAGGAGTGATCACAAAGAACCAGCATGGCTTCCTCAAGAGTAGGTTGTATCTGACTAACCTAATTTCTTTTTTGGTCAGTTATTAAATTGATAGATCAGGGGAATGATTTAAATATATTAAATATTTATTTAACTATTTAACTAAGTAAATACAAATATGAAATTTTTATTTAAATATTTTATTTTAGGAAATCATCTGACATAGTTTTGCATACTGCTTTTGTTGAAAAGAAGGTAAGATGTGGGCTAGATGATAGTACAATTAGATGTTAGATGGCTGAACTCAAAGAGTAGATATTAATGGTTTGATGTCAACATGGAAAGGAAGAAGTCTTCACTGGAATGCCCCAAGGATCTGTGCTTGCACCTGTGTGGCTTAATACGTTAGAGCACAGATGCCATGCTTATTAAATTTTCAGGTGATACAAAGCTAGGGAGAATAGTTGATCCACTGAACGACAAATGCAGAATTCAAAAACATCTAGACCAGGGGTGGGGAAACCTGTGGCCTCCAGGCTAGATGTGGCCTTCTAGGTCCTTGGTTGTGACCTTTTGACTGAATCCAAGTTTTACAGAAAAAAATCCTTTTATTAAGGGGATTTGTCTTGTGAAGTATGGATTCAGTCAAAGGGCTGCACTTGAGAACCTAGAGGGCCACATGTGGCCTCAAGGTAGCAGATTCCCCACCCCTGAATTCTGAGGTCTTTCTGACTCTTAAGCCCAATCCTGGGAGTGCTCCCATTGTCTTTACACAGATCATCCACCCTGCCAAGTTAGCCCGCAGTGATAACCAATAAGACAAGTTGGGATAATAATTTCGTGATATTGTAGAAGAAGCTTTTGGTGAGTCTGGAGGGGAGGATAGTCAAATATTAAGCTTCTACCCCTAATACAGAATCGGAGCCGTACAGGATATTCCCCAAAGACTTAATGCAGTCTGACGATTTAATGGCTTCCCCAAATTTGGGACACCGTGTAGAATCAGACTGCTGGAAGGGCCCTAAGAGATCATTTAGCCTGACTCCTCCTTTCATAAATCAGAAAACTAAGATTGTATGGAGGTTAAGAAGCTTGTCAAAAGTCATCCAAATCATCAATGGCAGATCCAGCATTAAAACCTAGGTTTCACATAGTGAGCAATCTTCCTGGAAAAGTGGCAAATTTTTATTTATCAACCCAGACATCTCATTGAACAAGTTCAGGCAACGACTCAAGGCCACCCCAGCTTCGGGCAGGCACCCTCTTTGAAGTGACCAAACCAAGGCTGTTGCACAATAACATGTTATTGCACGATCACCAAATCCCCTCCCCAGCTTCCACCCCTGCAAAATCACGAAACCTCCTCGTGGAGTCATCTAATTGACTACTCCTCCGTACCATTGTTCCCTGTCAGGTTGGTTCACATAATGACGATATGGTTTTCTGAATTAAGAAGGGTTAATGAGTGAAGTAATTGGGGGTCTGCTATTTCATAAGTGCCCGTTGTTAAATTTTCAGCGTGAGCATTTTATACCTCAGATATCGGCAATGCTACAAATCAGGGCTTGATTTATTGTTTTGCTGATTGTCTAGACTTAAGAGACAATGTTAATAATGCTGATTAATTGATTAATTTAATTAAACTTAAAAGTATCTTGTAATTAAAAGTATTTGTAAAGTACTTTGATTAATTGAGTAATCAATTAATTAATTGACGAGTACTCGATTAATTAATTAAACTTAAAAGTATCTTGTGGATCTATGTTTCTGTTTTTGTTTTTCAGAGAAATTGCTTTCATTTACCAGCATACCTTTATGTGTACCTTTATGGATCAGAAACTCCTTAAGACAGGCCTACACAACATATGGCCTGAAGGTGCGAAAGATGTAGGGTGCCACTGCACTCTCTCCTGTTTGTCTCGTGTCCAGTGACCCATGGCAACCAATCATCTTCAGTCTGTCTCCAGTCTAACCTATCTGTGGCCAGAAGAAGGTTAGCCTATGTTAATTTTGGCCCCTACCTACTGCCAAGCTGTGCAGGTCTGCCTTAAGATAAGATACCATGTCTTATACTTAGTGAGGCAATGGGAGCTAGTGGACCCGAGAGTTAGGACACCTGGGTTCTACTATAAAATCACTTCATGGCCTCAGACAAGTCACATTCCCTGGCTATGTTAAGACTCCTCCATCTGTAAATTAGAGATAATACCTGCCCTTTCTACTCCTCAAGGGAGAATAAAATAATTTTCCCCTGACAATAAGGAGTACTTATTGAAGAAAATATCACAGCCCTAGGAGTCCCCACTTCCTGGGAATAGGAAGGCCAAGAACAAACAGCAGAAGATGGTGTCCAGACAGGCGGGCCTGATGGGGTGCTTGGGTGCTTGTGCTTGTACTTGGACCCCAATTTCTCCCTAGTCTCAGAAACACTGTCTCTGACAATCACTCCTCAGCCCAAGGACACTGTGCCTAGCAATTACTCATGCGGGGGGCCCCAGCAAGACCCTTATCTCTCTTCCTGGTGCAGCTACACAAAGCTGGGTGAGAGTGCTGGGCTGCTCAGGCCCCAGCCCTCAGATCATGTCTCTGGAAGCCTCCCAGTTCCTTAGTAAGTTCTTGTCTTGTGAGAAAGCTTTCCCTTGTTGCAGAGCATTCTCTCATCAAGACAGAGAGAGAGGGATGCCTTGCCCAGCCCAAGGAGTTTTGTCCTTGGCTGGCCCAAGGGTTCTTCCTCCTGCCAGACTCCCAAGATCCATGCTTCTGTCATCTCCCTCCCTGTCTGGTATACTCCCTGTACTTTCCCATCCATAGCTCCTCCCAAAGACACCTGGACCTTTGAATTATCTAATCAGTATCCCTGGCATTCCTTTCCCATGCCCTTTTCCGTATAAACCCTAGCTCCATCCTCAGTTTCTCGCAGGATCCTTAAGAATCCTTGCCCGCTGAAAAGCATAACAATAAATCTTTGCCACCTTAACGTAAAGAATGCTTGTCTGTGAATTCATTCCAGATGACCCCGTCCTGTACTCCAGTCTTTGAGGAGTCTCAACCTCTCAGACCACAACAGGCCCAGGGGAAGGAGGCAGAAGAGAGAGTTAGCATGGCGTGGGCACGAGTTAAATAGAATCTGCAAAGGCAATACCAACAAGAGAAGCCTGGTGGCACTGTGGATCTGCTGAAGTCTGATTCCCTCTCTCCAGGCATTGCTAGGAATATGGCGTAAGTCAGTGGCCAGCTGAAAACAAGAACTTTTAAGAAGAGGGAAGAAGGAAAAGAGCTGGAAAGCTGAAGCAGGATGATGGAGTGGAAGAAGACAGGGAAGAAAAGGGAGAAAGAAGGAAAAAGCCGTCTAGGGCTGGTGTGGTCTGTTTGTCTTCTAGAAGGGATATGGGAGAAGAAGCCTGAAGGAAGAGAGAAGCTTTGCTGAAGGGAGAATAATTAGATGGCCCCTTAAGTCGAGATTTAATGTGAGAATCCAGTCAGTCAAGTATTTTGTGAGCACCTACTATGTGTCAGGCACCACTCTGAGTGCCAACTTTTTGAATATTCAGGTACTTAGAAAGCAATCACCTAGAAAGCGATTATGCAGTGCAGACCTTGATTATTCGTTTTTAGAATCATGGGATATATTTGCAGTCATTATTTCGACAATAATTGCAGTACATGGGAAGGAAGAAGTTTGGCATGGGCTTCAGATCAGCAGAGAAACCAAATTTCTCCCAAAGAATGTATAAGGAAAAATTAAAGCAGTACTAGGTGGTGCAATGGATAAAGTGCCAGATCTGGAGCCAGAAAGACTCCTCTTACTGAGTTCAAATCCAGCCTCAGACACTACCTGTATAACCCTGAGCAAGTCACTTAACCCTGTCTGCCTCAGTTTCCTCATCTGTAAAATGAGCTGGAGAAAGAAATGGCAAACCACTCTAGTGTCTTTGCCCAGAAAACCCCAAATGGGATCACCAAGAGTTGGACACTGAAAAATGACTGAACAGCAACACCGATCAGTGGTGCCTGTATCTTTTATGAAATAAATGCTCTTGGACTCTTTTCATGAATCTCAGGAGTAGTGGGAGAATTTTGAAGTGATTCTACTTGGTAGGCTGAGACTAAAGACTTCATTGTCTTCTGGAATGAAACAGTAGACAGCTAAAATTTTGTGACCTGCTCTGAAAGATATTGCCACATAATAATAGTTCCTTTAAAAGTAGCAGGCAGGTTTGGGAATTGTTAAGTGTGGACTAGAGCTCTGTGGTAATGGAGGCATGGAGTTAGCCTCCTGCCAGGTGCCTCCCATTGAGGTACAGAGAAAGGGAGTGGGGAAGAACAACCAAATAATCCTATAGATGAAACTCAAAATATTTT